CTGCTGAACAGGAGTCAAACGAAGTCGGTTGAAACGACACCATATGAGATATGGACGGAAAAACGTCTCGTGTTGTCGTTTGTTAGAATTTGGGGTTGCGATGCTTACGTGAAGCGTCTGATGACTGATAAGTTATCCTTCAAATCTGACAAGTGTTTATTTGTAGGCTACCCTAAGGAAACTAATAGTTACTACTTCTACATTCTGGCAGAGAACAAGGTGTTTATTGCCAGGAATACGACTTTTATAGAGCGAGAGTTCGTCTCCAAAAGAACCGGTGGGAGTAGGATCGAACTTGAAGAAGTTCGAGAGAAACAGGTAGACGCTGAGCCGAGTGAACAAGTTGAAGACGTTCAACTTGTTTCATTGCCAGTTGAGACTCAACCTTGACTAGTGAACCTCGGAGATCAGGCAGAATTCGCCAAGAGCCTGCGAGATATGGTTTTCTCGTGACTGGAATGAGGAGCTCAGGTTATTAGAATATGATGAGCCTTCCACATACCCATAGGCTATGACGAGTCCCGACTCCGAGAAATGGTACGAGGCTATGAAGTCCGAGATACAATCCATGTCAGATAACCAAGTATGGACTCTAGTTGATGCATCTTAAGGGATAAAACTCATCGGATGCAAGTGGATCTTCAAGAAGAAGACAGACATGGATGGCAACGTGCACACGTATAAGACACGACTTGTGGCGAAAGGATTCCGTCAGATTCATGGTATTGGCTATGATGAGACCTTTTCACCTATAGTTATGCTGAAGTCCATCAGGATCCTGCTTGCCATACCTGCATATTACGACTATGAGATATGGCAAATGGATGTCAAGACCGCGTTCCTTAACGAGAACTTGACCGAGGATGTGTACATGACACAACCCAAAGGTTTTGTCGATCCAAGGAACCCGAGGAAGGTGTGCAAGCTTTAGAGATCCATCTATGGACTGAAGCAGACTTCGAAAAGCTGGAACCTTCGCTTTGATGAGACAATCAAAAGGTTTGGTTTCTCACAGAACGAGGACGAGCCATGCGTTTACAAGAAGGTCAGTGGGAGACCAGTAATATTTCTAGTATTGTACGTGGATGACATTCTCCTGATAGGGAATGACGTTCCTACCTTGCAAGACGTAATGTTTTGGCTGTGAACGCAGTTTTCTATGAAGGGCCTAGGAGAAGCGGCTTATATTTTATACATCAAGATCTATAGAGATAGATCGAGACAGCTTCTGGGATTGAGTCAGAGCACTTACATCGATAAGGTCTTGAAACGCTTCAAGATACAAGATTCCAAGAAATGAACATTACTGATGAGTAGTGGCATAGTTCTCTGCAAGAGTCAGTATCCTTCGACACCTGATGAGCGAGAACGCATGGATAGGATTCCATATGCTTCGACAATTGGATCCATCATGTACGCCATGCTTTGTACTCGACCGGATGTATCCTATGCGTTGAGCATTACGAGTAGATACCAGCCAGATCCAGGTGAGTCACACTGGATCGCCGTCAAGAACATCCTGAAGTACTTGAGAAGGACTAAGGATATGTTCTTGGTAAACGGTGGGTCGGAAGACGAGCTCGCTGTAAAGAGTTACATCGATACTAGTTTTCAGTCAGACCCGGATGACTACAGATTGCAGTCTGACTATGTTTTCTGTTTGAACGGAGGCGCTGTAAACTGGAAGAGTTCTAACCAAGCGACCGTTGCAGATTCTACTACAGAAGTTGAGTACATAGCAGTGTCGAGGCAGCAAAGGAAGCTGTTTAGATCAGAAAGTTCGTTGGCGACATGAACGTCATTCCTAGTGTTGATAGCCCCATTGTTTTGTATTGTGACAACAATGGTGCAATCGCACAAGCGAAAGAACCCAAGTCTCATCAACGATCCAAATACATACTCAGACGATTTCACCTCATCAGGGAGATCATAGACAGATGAGACGTGCACATATCTGATCCGTTGACGAAGCCTCTCCCTTCGTCGAAGCATGAGGGTCATGTTAGGGATATGAGCATTAGGTGTTTAGTAGTCCATGAGTAGAGCAAGTGGGAGATTGTTGGTTTAGTGTTCTACGATGTACTGCTATATGAGCTTTATTTTGATGTATTTGATGTATTGACACTTACTAGACCCCACTTACTATGGTTATATGTATGAGTATTTGATTCATTACATGTTATGGAAACTTTAATATGTTATGAAATCCATGTATTGTTGTGAACAATGCTAAACTCTCTAATCATATATCATTGTGGAAATAATGATGTACTAAGACTAGTATGATGTGTGATAAATGATCATGAGTATTGGATACAATCACAATCATAGGTATTCGTTGGAGAATGGAATACTGGAATGGCCCGCATGAGATTGTCACATGGACTAGCGTCATGACTTGAATCTTATGTGACGGTTCCATGATCGGATCTTGTGACGTGAGATATCTACGAAATCCAACATGAGGAGTTGTGTACTTTGAATACGTCAAACGTCCTATGTAACAGGAGGACTATAAAGGCGTGTACCATGTACGACACGAATCATGTGCTGGATTGTAGATAGTCAAGATGAGATTTGTACCTCTCGTAAAAGAGAGAGATATCGCTGGGCTCCTCGTGTGAGCAAGACTGTAGAAATGTGTGGCCACACTATAGACGAACGTCGTCTATTTCATACAATCGAACTCTGTGAACGAGAAAGTAGTCGAATCAGATAAGGTGGATTCTCCATGCCTTATGTTCGACGTATGATATCGTGATACAAAAGGATCATCAACCGGAATCATCACCAACGTTCGTAAGATCACGAACAAACTCTATTCGAGATAGGTAGTCATAGTGTCTTGCTAGAGACCGTCTGACTTGTATACCCGAAATAGAGATTTCAAGTTATACTGCTATATCGGATGAGTCTACAGGTTCACACATATAGGAAAGTACAAATGCGCGAGAAAAGACGAGAAATTCCCGGTGGAACGGAGGCTAGACCGACCAGCTTGCCCAGACCGACCGGTCCAGATGCGTGGACTGATCGGTTCAGGCGGAAAAGTTCCAGACCGATCGGTCCAAGAGTCGGAAATTATTTATCTCACTCTAATAAGGGTTTTGGGGTAACCAACACTTTGGGAACACCTCCTAATCTTTGAAGGACGATTTCTTAGACTTTTTCAGAGGTTTTTGAGATCCGAAAACGAAGAAAAAGATCCCTGAAACCCTTGCGCATTGGAAAAACGAGTTCTTCAGTTCTAGCAGACAAGTTCCAATCTGTTGGAATCCTTTCCGTCGCGTGGATATATGTAGAGCGCGAGGTAATCTTCCTGCCTTTGTGATCGGACGAACACATCAATTGATACAGGCCCCGGATCGATTGAGGTAAGCGTTCTAACGTTTATACGATTCATGCATGCTTGGTTTTAGGGTTTATAGAAAATTTTTGTTTTACATCCGCTGCGCTGCGCAAACCCTAGAATCGATATCTTAGAAATTAGATTCGCTGTAGAGATCTCAGAAATTTCCAATATCAGATTCATAACCCATTGCCCTTTATACTTGTTCCCGCTCGAACCCATGTAAGTGCCAATCCCATCCATGTATCCACTCTTGGATTCACCAACGTACGTCGCACCAGAAGGCCACCGGACTTTCCCTAGAGCCAATATGTTTTCATACTAGCACGTTCTTTTTGAAGGAAAACAAAAAAAAAAACTTTTTGTGTAGAAAACGATCCTACAGATCACATTAACCAAACCCACTGTTAGAGAAAGAAAAGATCGAATCTAAAATACTTCAATCAGAAACAGCATGAGACGAACAAAGACACCTGTATTCTGCGTTCATGTGTCCTTTGCCTCAGTGAGTTTCGATTACTTTTTCCTGGGACAGAAAACCCGGAAACATGGTGGTGAGGAGGAGGAGAGAGTGTATTTGTCAGTTTGCAACATTACCGGAAAGATACTCAAGAATCAAGATCCATGTTCGAAAGAGAAACACAGAGAGAAAAATTATGGCCAAACTCCAAACGAGTTAAAAGAGATGAAGATTCTCTCCGACGTTTCATCTTTTCTTGTCAATAAATCTTGACTGATGTCGTCATTCAAATAACGATCCATTCATCTCCTCGAACCACTGAAAGCCTCGAAATTTGGAGAAACAAGAAAGAACCCACGTTTTCTATTCTTAGCATCTCCTACCTTCCCTCTCATAAATAAAACACGTTTTGCAAGAAAATGAAAACAGGGAAGGAAAGAAAAGAAACAGGAACCAGCTTGATCGACTGACATACAGACATCTTGAAGACCGTCGGGATCTCCAATTCGGATCTGAACAAGACATTAACGAATGTTGACGAAATCGCCAGAAACTCAAAACTCATTGCGACATTCTATCGAACAGGTAACAGGACAGCCAAAGGACATATCAACCCTTAATCTGATTGCAATATCTTCTCACGAATTCAACTCGCAGACAATTGATTCTACTATAAATCCATCATGGGTCACTCAAATCAACGAAATTTAGCTTTCATTTCCCCCCAGCTTGTTTCATATCACTTCGAATCACACAAGACAAACAGAAGGAAACAAAACAGAACACGAGTGAAAGGAATTAAAAGTTCATATCTTGTTGAACTTGGCGAGGAAGAAGACGGTGGCGGAGGTGACGGCGGGGATGAACAAATCGTTGGACACAGATTTGGGAGCGACGCGGTTCTTGAGGAAGACGGCGAAGACAGGAACGCCGAAGATGAACAAGAGGAACTCTTTGACGCCCCCGACGCCGGTGAAGCCAGTTCCGATCACCACCTCCGACAGAAGCTTCTGAAACTCTTCCTTCGACAGCTTCTCCCCTTCGCCGATCTTGTGTCTCTGCGCAGTTCCAGAGACATGGGAAAGAAAGATGAATGAGATCGCTAACGGACACTTTTCTTTCAGAGTGGCCTCACTCTTAGGAAGCGCTTCCAGTTGCAATCTAAGGAAAACTTGACGATAAAGTCTTAAAGTTCTCAACTTGTTCTCGAAATCAAAATCGAAAACTCTTAAATCTGTTTAAAAATCTTAACTTTTCGAAGATTATCGATGCCCTCGTATTCAGAAATGGTAAATTATAAAAATAAAACAAATAATGGTAGTTTTTATTTTGATTATTTTGGTTTTTTGGTTTTTTAGTATTTGTAAATCCAAAAATAATGACGTTTTTTATTTTTAAATGATTTTTTTCACTAGAGTAGTTTTTTTTATTTTTAGAAAAATTAAATTTACAAAATTTTGATTGTCGATTTTTTTTAATCCGAAAAACTATGAAAACGCATTCCATTCAACTACAATAATGATATATGTACGGAATCAAACTATATTTAGAATTTATAAGATAAAATATAAAAATAAATATAAAAAATCAAATCGAAATATTTTTTAGAAAATAAATATTATTCATAATAAAAATAAAATATAAGAAATAGAAAAATTTTAAATCGAAATCATACGTAACCAAACCCAAAAAAATCAACAAAAGAGACGAAATCTAAGATTTTGTGAGAGATAATATTTTTCACCTCGTATGCTTCCCGTAATTTCTCGGTACTCGGCACCCGAAGTTGCGTTCCACCTAGGTTATCGTTGATGTCTCTGTCAACCATAAAAACATTATTATACAAATTTGTATTATTGATACTCATAATAATAATAATAATAATAATAATAATTTTGCAATCCATACGATTGAGTATATATATTGTTTTGTAAAAATAATTTGATGTAATAATAATAAAAAAAGGAAATAATTACTCGACGGTTTCGGCAACGGCTCGGTAAAAGTCACCGAAGGTCCATTCCTTCTCGCCACCGCCTCCGAAGTGTGTCTCGTAGCAATTCTTCAGCAATGTTTCTAAGTCTGCCTCCTTCTTCTTCTTCTCTCCGTTCCCTTTCATTTCGTTTTGTAACCACACAATAAAATAAATTATATTAACTTTTACTCGTGTGTTCCATTCGCGTGTTAAGCAAAAAAAAAAACAAAATAAAATGATCGATACCCAAAATAACGAAATCGTACATATCGATCTTGTATGTAACATAATGTGTATGATAAATTCACGTTACCGGTGGCGTTGACGTTGAGGGCTTGACCCATTTGATGATAATGGTGTGAATAGAAGATGATGATGATGATGATGATGATGATGGTGATGTTGGTGATGATGATGATGATGATGGAGCTTGACTTGACAAGTTAGTACGTAGTTTAAAAATCCATGCCTTAACATGAAATTTTTGACTTGGGTTATAGGGTTTAGTATATTTGCATTCCCTGCACATGAAGCTATAAAAGACAGCTTCCGAGGTTGGAATTGGATAACTCGCAAGACAAGCTAAGGATTTTCTCTCTAAAAGGAAACAAGAGTAACCGGTTTTGTCCGGTTTACAGTGTCGATTGCTCACTTTAGCTTTCTTTGTCCGGTTTAGTGTTTGAACCGATTTTCGTTATGTTTATCAATCGAATTAATAAAACTTTCATGTAATATAAATCATGGTTTAAGCTATAATTAAGTAGAAGTCCTTTGTTATAAAATCGGTTGCATGTTAAAGATGAGGGCAATGGTTCGCGTAGAATACGAAAATTTATTTCGTTAACGTTTTAAAAACAATTGTTTCAATAATAAATTATATGGAAAAAAATTAACATTTTTCGGAAATGAAATGTCTACCCAAAGAAAAAATAATACTCAGCTTAGAATATCAGAGTAAAAACATGTCAATGTGTGTCTCTTCTACAAATGTATCATGTGTGTATAGAACGAAGAAGAAATACTATTATATATGCACTTTTAATTTTCATGCAAAAGTAAGTTATAATTATCTCCGGTTAATATTAAAAATATAGTAAAGAAGAATCAAGAAGTGACCCACTATTTCCTGACTTTAAATCGGTTTAACAAAATTCTAAATTATATATAGATCCCAAAATTCTAATTTTTCATACGGGTCAATATATATGAATCAAAGTTGTGATTTGGTTTAGTATGAATTAATCCGGTTAATTCAGTTTATAATTATTTTTTATAAGGGTTAATCCCACAAAAAATCCCAAACTTGTTAAAATATTCCATATAAACCCTGAACTTGCAATCTACCACAAAAAAAAATCTTGAATTTGGTAAAAACTTCCACAAAAATTACAAACTTACAATTTTTTTCCATATAAAACATTTGACTTATTTGACCAAAAATTTGCTGATTTGTGGCACGACGTATTGCTGACATGACGATAACTGAGTTAACACGTCAACGCCATGTCATCATTTTAAAATTTTAAATATTTGATAAAAATATATATGTAAAATATATATATATATATAAATTTATACATTTGATTAAAATATATTTATATAAATTAATATATATCTTATGTTTGTATATAGGTGTATATATATTTGACCAAAAATTAGAAATTTATATTTAAATTTTTTAAATGATGGTGTGGCGTTGACGTGTCAACTCAGTCAGCGCCATGTCAGCAATCTGTCGTGTCACGTCAGCAAAATTTTTGGTCAAACAAGTCAAATGTTTTATATGGATGAAAATTGTAAATTTGTAATTTTTTGTGAAAATTTTTATCAAATTCAGAGTTTTTTTATGGAAGATTGTAAATTGAGGGTTTTATATAGAATATTTTAACAAGTTTGGAGTATTTTGTGGAATTAACCCTTTTTTATAATCTAGAAATTCAATAGATCTTCGATTCAATTATATCCGAAAAGACAGAAAAATACATATGAATACTCATCCCCAAATAAAGATTTTGAATTTGGATTAAACTTACTTGTTGAACTAGTCTAATTTATATTATTGTACTATTGCTAATTATTAATTGTAGGATTATTAAATGTGTATATATATTTAGTGTGGTTTACGCAAATAAGAAACCGATTTAATAATAATCGGTTAACTAATCATGATCAATGGTTCTTATGTGAATATGATTGTTACTAGGTATGTTGTAATAATGTAAAAGGGAACGATTTTTTTCCTCTCCGAAATAACCTTGAGATTAGAAGGTTATTCCTTTAAAATAATTTGGACTGTTCTGATTCGATTTATCCATCCAATAGATCAATTTAATCGTTATGTACCCGTTAGCATATAATATAATGTTTAATATATAATTCCATGATTAGAAAGATACAAGTGGTGGGTTTTGTCCACCGTAAATTCCACGGGGCCCATAAGAAGGACCATTAGACCAAATTCAAATTGACAAGACTGATTGCTTTCCTCCCACTTGCCCACATGGACCCACTCCCTCCAATTTATCTTATATCAGAATTATTCACATTTTAAATTATATTTTATATTCATACACGTTGAAATTATGTATATATCTAGTCTTTTTATCACTCATTTTTTTTCCAAATAATAGGCACATCATTTTGATTATCCAAGTACTATTTCAAAAGATATATATATACACACACACGTATAGTAATGACAATAATATATCAATATATCACGAAATCTAATAACTTAAATATTTTCGATTCGCCGCACGTTGATGACTTCATCCTCCTTGGGTTTGGTGACGTCATGGTGTCGACCTTTTTGGCTTGACCGAGATTCACGTGGCGGATTCGTTCATGGATTGCACCCGCGAGCCGCCAGCCTCGGCTTCATCCTCTCTCACGCGCGACTTTATCAGCGCGTGTAACACACGTGCTGCGTCTCATGAATGGCATTGAATGTAATGTTTTTATTATGGTGGTGGAAAGAGGTGGTCACATTCATTGACATTATGCAAGTTGCATACATGTTGACACAAGATACCCTTTAATATAATACCAAATAAGAATTTTTTTTATTATACAAATATATCCATCAATCTCTTTTTTTTTTCCTCATCAAACTAATCGAAAAAAAAAAGGAGGGAGCTCACGGAGAACCGGTGAAGAGATCTTCATATATAATTTAATCATATCTATAAGGATGTGTGACCAAATATTATTTTCTTTAACAAAAAAAATTAAATCATATATATATATATATATATAGACTCCAATCTCTCTCTCTCTCTCAATCACACACATATACATACACACACACATATGCGTATCCGTTTTTTTTACAGGAAATCAAAAATAAGCGCGTGAGACCAACGCGCCGTCGGTAACGCCGATGACAAGACACAGTGGGAAGACTTGATCAGTTTTTGTCATAAATTTGTTTGTCTTATCTTTCATGGTGGCATCTTCCCCCAACTTCCTTCCTCATTTCCTCTCCATTTATTTAATTTCCACTCTCCTTCCCCAAAACAAAGGAGGAAGGGAAAAAAAAAACCCACCTTTGCTTCTCGCCGGAAAACAAAAAAAAAATGGAATCGACGTTGCTCTCGACGTTACAGCAGGGAAAATCGTCTATGGCCAAGAAATCGACCAAGCAGACGAAGAAGAAGACGAAGCCCATCAAAGTAAGGTACATATCGAACCCAATGATGGTGGAGACTTGTGCCTCCAAGTTCAGAGAGCTCGTGCAGGAGCTCACCGGCCAAGGCGCCGCCGATCTACCACCGGAGCCACCCATTTTTCTGGCGGGTGACTCTTCTCCAGCCTCTGACGCCGTCCCGGCGACGGAGGCTCTGGCCGATCGGGAGCCGTATCACGATGTGGCGGATCGTGTGCCGGAGTACTACTTCGAGCCGCTGGATGGTGATGTGTCGGTGCCTCCTCACACGTCGGAAAGTTTCTCTGGGTGTTTTACAAACGGGTTTTATAGTGTGAACGCGTTGGGAAGCATCGACTCGGTTTGATCCTTTGAATTAGGGTTTCATCAACACAACCTATATATATACACCCACACACACATGCAGACAATTACGAGAGTATATATACGAAAGAATAACAGGAATTTCATATATATTTTTCAGAATCTGCGATTGTTTGTGTTCCTGTTTCATGAACCTTTTTTATATGAAATGAATCAATCATCAACAAAACTAACAAACTAATAATATTCAACGTCATATATATATACGAGCAGCACATCGATTGATCACCTGTTATCATCTTTTTCGAGTTCAGTTTCAGTTTTTCATTCATGGTGTAATGGATACAACGGAAACGAAATAATATAAATATACAAAGCAGCCCTTCGGGGCCAGGTCAGGTGGTAAGGAAGCAGGGTGAGCAACCCTGAGGTGGAGGGATCGAATCCCAACATCGATCTTCCTTACGCTTGACCTGCTCGTCTGTCAGCCCATCCTAATGGACTGATTTACCTCCTCCGCGTGTGTTGCAGGCTTGTGCACGTGGGCGGAGGGTTTGACCTGCAGGCGCCTAAGCCCAACTACGGCCCGAGCGTTAGGCGCGTCTGGTGGCCAGGTCCGGCGGACTGAGGTCCATGGGGACTGTTAGGCGCGGGTGGTGGCCAGTTCGGCACCGTTTGTAAGGGTAGGTAGTCACAGGGATTCCCCACGTTAACAAAAAAAAAAAATATATATATATATATATATACAAAGCGCAAAGGCTCAAATGTTAAGGAATGCACCGAAACTCCTCCCCATCCATTTGGAAAGGATCTATATTCACATGAACTTCTACCATTTTATAAATTTTCGAATTATAAAAAAAATAAATAACGGATCTGTTTCTGTTTCTGAGATGTACTGAACAACTAAGAGCGAAGGCTGTGTATTACGCAAATTGCAGGATTATCGTATTGTCAAATGTTCCGTATATATCTAATAATTGTTCATTAGAGCGAAAACAATGGTTTTACATTTGAAATTGTGAATATATATATATATATATATATATATATATATATTTTTATAAGCAGGATGGTTACTCGGGCCTTGGCCCGACTATATCCACCCTGGATTCGGGACCGACCTTTATATATGAACCATTTTAGTCCAGAAATTACATCCTTCCCCACCAGTGGAATCGAACTCAAGATTTTGGAGATGACTTTGTCACATCTCGACCACTGGACCACCAACTGTTGGGTAAATTGTGAAAATATTGTATATTAATGCCACTCGTATTTTTTTTCCATTTCAGATGCATATTATATTTATTTATTTTCAGTTTATATAAATAAAAGAAAACAGATGTATGAAATTGATATAATCGAAATTCAAACTCTAAATAAATGTCGGTGTTGGATGGACAATGAGTGATGTTGGTTTTATTGCTTTTGTCATGGCCCATGGGTTCCATTTTAGAAATCTCGAATTAATTTTAAATTACGTATGAAGATAAATTGCCTGTAAAAATAAAAAAAGAAGAAGAAGGTGAGATCCGTCTTAAAAGTGCCACTTGTAGATAAATTTTTACAACATTTAATTTTGATAATCTTGGAGGATAAACACAATATATATATATACACACACATATACATATATATATGGATATATAAGTTGTAGGTTCGAATCACGGACATACCATGCAAGTCTCCAACGTACGTGTACGAATTGTCGGAGTCTCGTCGTGGATCTGCTGAAGGGTTCGTATGTCTCACGACTCATGAGCGATAAAATATTAAAATCGTCATATCATAATCAAGGGACGATGGACGAAAATTTGTTGGTAGGTGTTTTGGATTCCGGATATTTCCTATTCTTAGGGATTTTTAGATTATTGGAAAATTTATATCTATTTACTTTTAATTTTAGATTTTCTTTTTGTTCGGATTTTATTCGGAGTTTTTTTTAAAATTTTGACAAATACTTATTTTGTAAATCATATTTAGTTATTTTTTAATTATGTTTTGTCTATAGAAGTAGCTACTTTGGGTTATATTCAATTTTATAAAAAGTTTTCAATCTAATTTGATATATATTTATATATATATACCTATAATATAGAACTAAATGTTCATTGTAAGGAATAAGGTTCCAATTTTGTTCTCCTTTATGTACTATCTAATTCCCGACACATATTTTTTCTTTTTGTGAACTCAATTCGAAAATTAAAATAGTGGTAGAATATTTTACAGTATACATAAAAATTAAATCGATAAAATTGCTGCTTGCATTTTTTTTTAAAAAAGGAGAGGAAGAAAAAACAAATGGATAAATGGGCCTAAATTAAGGGGAATAACAAATTCCATGGATCGTTTTATTGTACTTTACGAGCTCCTTAATGATCGATTAAGATAAGATTACATTTTTTCAATTTCGTATTTATTCCTAACAAGCCCATTGGGCTAACGCATGCCTTATTGGGCTTTTTGAGCCCACCAAACTTCATGCATCGTGAGGATTACAAAAAAAAAAATATATTCTACGACTGTTTAATCCTAATTAATTAAATTTGTTTGGTCAATAATAGCTATTGAATTATTTTATGACCAATTATTAATATCACCCAGAAAATAATTAGTAATTGCAAAAATAATATTTTCTCAAAGATTATTTGAAAACTAACTGTTTTAAATATAAAATTACAAAATTCTCAAAAAACCTAAACCCAAAATTAAAACTAAAAAAATTTAAATAACAAAAAAAAAATACTATTTTACAATTTTTTTTCATAAATACACTATTTGACATATTGTTTCTGGGTTAATCCTTCTAGATTATTCTAAAAATTGGAAAATATAAGTCGAAATTCCATTGTGAAGCAAAAATGGAAAAAGAAAACTTTCTGGTAGGTGTTGTCTTGATCTCGGATTCCAGATTGATTCGCTGACGAACTCGCTCTCCGATTTCTCTGCTTCGTCTTCCTCTTCTTCTTCTGGTCATCCGGAAAAGATGAACGGCGGTCCCTCCGGTTTCAGTACGTATCCGTGCCATCACCGTCCTTTGGTCGAAATCAGTTTCTGAAACCTTTTTGGGCTTTTCTCATGGATGCCCTTTTGAATTTCTCATGCTCCTCCCGATTCGTGTTGATTGATGCGTGTGAGTTATCGGTGCCACAGGTAATGCTCCGGTCGCGAAAGCCTTCGTCATAGCGAGTGCCATTTTCACCGTGTTCTTCGGGATCCGGGGCCGTTCCTCTAAGCTCGGATTGTCTTACCAGGTACTCGCGTTTGATGTGTTATCTTCTGCTTTCCCACTTGCGATCGAGTTCGGTTCCTCCATATTTAGGAAGTTTCGGGTTGAATCAGGGTCCGATTCCTGGTCCAATCTGTTCTCGCATTAGCGTTGTCTTGATGAGTTTTAGAACTGATTTTCTGGTGGGTTTCTCGATTGGGACAACGTTTTTGTTCTGCCGTGTGATTAAGGAGTAGTCGTCTTTCTCGACGCATTCTGGCTTGTCTGCTCGAAAAGCAGCAGCTTAAGCCAAATGTTTCTGTCTCCCCTAGGGCTCTGCCATCACAATGGACCAAGCTTCGGCTTTGATGGTTTTATCAGTGAGTCATGTGATACTGAATAATGGGTTGCTTCAGCAGTTTTAGATAGTTCAATACCTCACTTCCAAGTTTTGCTCTTTGTCCATGCCATTGTCCTGGCACCATGGAGACGTCTGATCTTATGAATCCCTTCAGGTTCCCTGTTCAGCTTGTTTTATTTTAAGCCACTTTTGTTTCTCCTCAATGGATAGCTTGCCGAAAGTGGGTACTTATGCGCCGAGAGATCACTTTAGGGTTAGTCTATTGTACTGTTATAAATGTTTTTTCTGAACTCATTTGCAGGATATTTTTGAGAAGTTCCGGATCTGGAAGTTAATCTTGTCGATTTTCGCATTCTCGTCTACCCCAGAGCTGATGTTCGGCTTATATTTATTATACTACTTCAGAGTTTTTGAGAGACAGATAGGCTCGAATAAATACTCGGTAAGTGACACTTTCTCTCAGTTCTCTCTTTGTGCTTGCTCGGTATGTTTCTTGGTCCTTGTTATTTCGAATCTTCAGGGATTGTTTCTTCAAAGTCTCATGTTCTCATATCCATCTTGACTAACTGGTAGTTGGAAATGTTAATCAGTGATCATATCGGCAATTGTTAATGAGCATGTCTTCTCGGTTTCATATTCTGTTATTCTGCTCACAAAAAGGGTAACTAGAAAGGGTTTATTCTGCAGGTCTTTATCTTGTTCTCAACGACCGTTTCACTATTACTGGAGACCGTCTTGCTATCACTACTTAAAGGTATGCGTCTTGTCGTTAGCTTGTGGCCTCTTCAAAGTCTATGTTTTTTTGGTTGTTTATTCTCCTTTATAGAGATAGGCACTGTGCACGCATATCTTTCATTGATTGCGATAAGATGAGTGGCGATTTTCTGTTTGTTTTATGCTGTCTAAAGCCATGGAATCTGTGAACTTCTGTTGATATTCGTGAACATCTAATACCATAGATTATGGTATGTTGTTTGTTGTAACCGTTTTTGTTTTTTAAATATTTGCAGATCCCACAGCAAACCTACTTACCTCTGGACCATACGGCCTCATATTTGCGTCATTTGTACCCTTTTACTTTGATATCCCGGTTTCAACAAGGTTTCACGTGTTTGGTGTGCATTTCTCTGATAAGTCCTTCATATATCTGGCAGGTCTCCAGGTAAAAAAAAAAGGAAATCATATGTTTAGTTGTATGTTTCTTGCGTATAAGTATATATTCGTTGTCCTATAGTATAGATGTGATTGTCTTGCTTCCCGACATGCAGCTTCTACTATCATCTTGGAAAAGATCTATATTTCCTGGAGTTTGCGGCATACTAGCTGGTTCTCTATACCGGTTGAATTTCCTTGGCATCCGCAAGGCAAAGGTTACATCTTTGACACATTTTGATTGTGAAAGAGTTACTTGTTATCTCAAAATGTCTCTCCAATAACAAAAGTTTTATCTCGTAATGATATGTTTCAGTTCCCTGAGTTTGTGAGTTCATTCTTTTCCCGGCTTTCTTTTCCATCATCCATTGGGAGCTCTCCTCGAACTCCTAGCAGGAAT